GCATTTGGCTCTTTGTGAGCTGAAGTAATTTTTAGATTTGTCCACCTCGGCAAACTATTGCGGATGGTGGATGGATTCTGCTTTAAGTATTTTGATGGATTTATTTCAATTTTAAATATTTTGGAATTTTTGGGATTTATGGATTTTTGGATTTTGAGTGGACTTTTGAAATATTTATGAAATGGACCCCTCCGGTTGAGATCATCATTCAACACGGCCATCATCGGGGTGTACTTGAGGTTATTTCCATTTGATTGAACCTTGTCGACCCTATCAACTTAACGATAGGGGATCGGGTTTCTCGTAGGCTTTATACCTTTGTTCATGAATTTTCTTGATTTTAGGCCTTGAAGGCCGAATATAAATGCATTAAAATACATTCCGATCACATTCGTGACCATATATTTATCTGAGAATTTGAACCCTGTCTACTCCTATTCACCTGCTTAGGAGGATTGGGTTTCGTAGGCTTTGTGCCTTTATTTAGTGAATTCTTTTGATTGTAGGCCTTGAAGGCCTAATATGAGTGTATTGAAACAAATACATTGGTCGCCACAACTGTGTATTCGTTTAAAGGTTCGAACCCTGTCGACTTCTATTGGTCCGTATAGAAGGATCAGGTTCGAACTAGAATTCACTTATCGACCCGCGCAGCATCCCTAGGCGTCACGTGTGTACCAATAACACGCTCGCCGGGCCCCATGCGGGTGATTTTTTTATATTGATTTAGACGTACCCCATTGTGTACCTATGTGTATACAAACTATAGTGCAGGTACAGGGGTACTTTGAAACATTTTGTAAACGCCTTCTGCCCGCTTGCATGGATATTGCGGGTCTGGTGGCGTGGCATTGTAGATTGTGGACGCCTTCTGTCTGCTTTCATAGATGTTGCAGATCTGGTGGCGTTGTTATTTGGATGTCATGAGGTATTTCCTCATCTTGACATTGACTCCCCTTTCTCAATCACCGGGGAAGAGCTCTTCTGGACTTTGAAGTCCGCTGTTTTGCCTTGAAAAGATCTCCTTTCAAGATTTTAATGTAGTAGACTTGTTGTATCTGATATTTGTAGATGTGAATATTGTTTTCTTCCTGAGTATATGATCAAGAAGGGATTTTGGAACACCAGGAGGTTTGGTTCTAATTTGTTCAAACCTCTCTTCCATTCTGCCAGGAGGTGTCTTTTTCGTACATCGAGTCACCCTTGTACCCGAAATACTTGAAAAAAAGCGGTCCTGCCACCACGCCGCAGAACGGGTCTTGATCACCAATGTCGGAGGTGATATCGATACTTGTGCCCACAGTGGTATCCATTTGCAGGGGACCGTTTCGTCTACTACGACCTTCTGGAAGTGGTTGCAGAAAGCCCATTGTTCTTGCATCATATCCACCCTTTCACCAATCTCGGGTGGGTGACTATCGCATTTGCTGCGGGGAACAGATTTTCTACTATCATGTAGTAGTGTTGCATTCTTTCAATCAACAGGCACTGTGGGGATTGTTTGTAGGAGTTCGTGCCATAACTTACAAACATAAATTATTGCTTCTCTTCTTTTTACAAGTAGATTATACTTGGAACTCATTTGTCTTCTTGAATTCGGGTCCGAGCCAAGTTTCATTTAGACTCGGGTTCATCGAGTCCACAACCCCCACTTAATGTTGTGTAGCGCAAGTTCAAATGTTATGTTCGGATTCGGATCCAGTCCAAATCAAAGTCCTTGTTTGATGTTATGGTCTTGTTCAAGTCCCCTGCAGTCCTTTGAGTTCAATTGCATGTTCATGTGATTATTTAAAGTCTTCTAGAGTCTTTACATGTTCATTTCATGTGTAGATTGACTTGAATTTGGTTACAAATTTGATTTTATTTCATCTGATTTTTATTTTCATTAATCATTTGAATTTCTGTTCAGGTTCAAATCTACAAGTCCACTGTTATTTGTTTCTTGTTCGTTTGAATGCAGGCTCTTGTTCTTTTATGTCCAAAACTTGCTCACATATAGGCCAAAATTCTGTTCAAGTCCACGGTGCCTTCAGTCTGAATTTCGGCAGCCTTCCGGCGTCTCCCCCGTTTAGGGGAAAAAACCAAGAGGCAACCTTCCCCTCGACGCTACGTGAGCGCTTCAGGTAGATGTCAAAAGTGACACCGCGGTCGCGTATTTTATCAAAAATCCTCGCCCGCTACATGAGAGTTTAGGGGTGTGGAGCATGAGTTAGAAAAAAGCAGATTTCCCCCCTCTGCACCACGTGGGCGTTCGGGGGTACTTATATAAAAATAAAGAAAACGCATTTCTTATATCCCGTTCGCCGCAAGCGCTGCACCGGTTTCCCTCCCTACAACGCTGCTTGAGCGCCTCGGGGGTTTGCCGGCTCATTGCAAGCTTTGAAGAGTGATCCTTAAATCGTTGCAAGCATCGCACCGGTTTCCCACCCTACAACGCTACGTGAGCGCCTCGGGGGTTTGCCGGTTCGTTGCAAGCATCGAGAAAAGAATCTAGGTGATTTCCGCCTCGTCGTAGGCGTCGTACTAACTTCCCTCCCTACAACGCCACGTGGGCGCCTCGGGGGTTTGCTAGGGGATCACCTTCACTTCCAGCGAGCTCTTGTTGTCGCTTCCCTCAAAATGTTGCAGCTTCCGATCCGAGAGGAAGGAAGTCGTCCAAGGGAGCAAAGTCGAAACAGCCACAAGGAGCCGGAGAAGGGCCTGAACGGGAGAAAGTTAACTCCACAGCCCGCGAGCTCCTATTCTAGTTCCGATCAAAATGTCGGGACTTCCGATCTAGTGGAGAGGGCGATGAAGGAAAGTTGGAGAAGGGGCGACGTCGGACGGTCTCAAGGAGTCGGAGAGTGAGCGGGTTCACAGCAAGCGAGCTCCCAGTCGTCTCTTCCGATCAAAATGTCGGAGCTTCCGATCCTTTCAGTCGGCGAGCTTCTGCAGTTGCTTCCGATCAAAAGAACATAACTTCCGATCCTACTGGAAGGGAAGTCGTTGAATGGCGAAGTCGAACTGCTGCGAAGAAGTCGGAGAGGGAGAGATTTCGAGAGGAAGAGGGCGGGAGCAGAGGGAGCGTTCGCGGGAGTCAGAGTGCGAGAGAGGGAGAATCGAGAGAGGACAGTGCGAATGAGGGCCTTCGTTCTCATTTTAACGACGCTAAAGGAGTCGGCTCGAGGCGGGATCGTGCGATGAAATGACGCGAGGTCGTGGGAAGAGCAGCGGCGTCGTGGGATGACAGAGAGCAGGTGAACGACTCCCTTTTTTATTTTGATTTTTTTTTGATTGATTTTTTTTTTATAAACGGGTCAACACATGGATTGTTTTACATCATTCTTGGTATCAGAGCATGGTAGGCATGCACGACATGTTTAGAAAAACATCCTAAGGTCTAGCTTTTCATTGTAGTTTAAAACTTGCATGCATATCATTGCATAGTTAGATTTTATTCACTGTTTTCACTGCTGTAATTGTGTTTCCTGCACGCATCTAGTAAAGTTTAAGGCATTCTAGATAGCGTAGGGGTGCTGCCATTAAACCCACATTGTCTCTAATTGCTTAGGACAACCACACCCTTGAGTTTAACTGCTGTCCTCACTGTTCCAGCAGCAGTTAGCCATCGTTTAGTGAACTTTTAGTCTTTGTTTGGGTGCTTCCCACTCCCTCGGACCATTCCAAACACCTAGACAACTTAAGCAACGACTGAACTTTGCTGTCCAGAAAATTTCTGCAACATTTGGAGAGCTTTAGGTGACCCCAACCTAGTGTTTAGGTGCTGTCCACATCCCAAAACCCATCCTAAGCACCTAGGCATCTTCACCAACTGCTATGGTTTTCTGTACACACAAAATACTAGCAAGTTGTGGGTAGGGCCAGTTTGGCGGTCAAAGGCCGCAAGCCAGCTTTATGAAAATCTCAAGTATATTTTCAGTTTCAGTTATTTTCCCTGTAGCCCTGTAGCCCTGTAGCTTTCTTTCAATATAAATACTAGCAATGTTCTATTTTAAAACAAATTTTGGTGATAGTTTATTCAATCTAAAGCTGCTAAGGGATGATTTCTGCATTCCTGTATCCTAGCTTTTTCAGTCCAGGTGGTGGTCTTACTATAGTTTTTGTATCAATGCTTAGCTCTGAAAGTAATTACTTAAAAACTGTTGTGCGTCAACTTGTGTTAAAAATTTTTGACATTCTTATGCATCGTTATTACAATCTAAAATTTGTTATCTAAGCCAGGTGCGTGAAAGAAAAATGATGATTAATCTGATATATCATTTATCATTTCTTCCATCCTGAAGTTTCCGGTCTTCACAGTGTAAAGTTGGTAAAAGTGCCTAGTCTTTTATCTGCTGAAAGCATCCGTCCCATCATTACTTTGAAAACTCCTTACTAATGAGCTAGTTGTTCTTTTGAATGTCGGCTAATGTTTTATATGCACATTTATGATTTTCTGTCCATCATTATTTCTTCAATATTCTCTGGACTTTTGCTTCTTATTCTAACATTGCAGATTTATTTTATGATAGCTTTGTGATGGCTCTATTGCTGCCTTTACTGTTCTTCACAATGTCAATTGCAATCATGGGTTTATATATGTCACGTTTCAGGTTATCACCCTACAGAATTGTCTGTTACATCTAGTATAGTTTGCTTCTTGGTTGGCTTGTGATATAACCTTTAGTCCTTTTTGTTCCAGGGCTTCCTAAAGATTTGCCAGTTGCCATCTGCATTCAACTATGATAACTATTGGGCAGTTCGCAAGGTATTCTCCCTTTTTTCTTTTGTTATGGATTACATACATCTTTTCAACATGGTTGGTAGATATGATGTATTTGAGATCCTTTTTTCCTTTGGCTCAGATTCCGTTGAGGGGCACACCTCATCAGCTCACCTACTGCGCTGAGAAAAATCTCTATTCAATCATATTATCTTTTCCCGTAAGTGTGTTACTTCTAAGAGTCCTTGTCTTTACTGGCAAAATATAAATTCAAAATCAAAATGAGTTTCTTTGCAGATGCTATTTGCATATGCCATAATCCAGTTTGATGAGGATTTACTTTTTCAGAAGTTACAACTCAAATTTATTAATTTATTAAGTTACTATTTTTATTTTGTTTTAATTAAATTCATCAAGCTGTTACTCATGATAAGTTAAAGTCGTGTATTTTTATTTGAGCAATAATTTTATTTCAACACGACTATTGATGGGTTCTTGTCTTAATTTTTTTGTCTCTCAATATTTATTTAATAAATATAACTTTGCCTACTTAGTTTTGGTTTTTCAAATCTTACTTGTCATTTACTTGACATATTTGTGAATGAAAGTAGTCATTCTCCCATTAAGGTTGGAATTTTAACTTTTATTGTTGTCTTTCTGCAATTTCATAAGTTTGTATCTATGGTTGCCATTATTTTTTTATTTTTATCTATGGTCGCTATAATTCTTTAGCATACTTCCTCTAACATAGATCTTAAATTTTTCTTTCATGTTGAATTTCTTGCCTCTTAATAATAATGGGAATGTGTTCTTCATCAAGGCTAGAACCAATATTGGATTCTTGCAAGCAAAGTTTTTTTTAAACCAAAATGTTATTTATTGCTTAAATTTATAGGCGATCAGGTAAGCCCTATGCACATTTTTCTTAGTATGGAGGGAAAACTCTAAGTACCGATGCACATCTTTTTTGACTCAATGGAGAATTGTTTTGAGGCTTCAAATAGGTATCGAAGATTCATGCACGTCTTTCTTAACATGGTGTGATATAAGACCCTCGATGGTGTTGTCTTATGATACTGATCGTGGATACCTAGGCGTGGTGGGTAGGCTTATCACTTCCAAGGACTCCCCCTTTGCAGGAAGAGAACTGAAGGTTGTTGAATTTTTTAGCAAACAAGGGACTTAAAAAAAAGAGCAAAATCAAAATGATTCCGAAATAAAATTTGCAATAAATAAATATATATATATATATATATAATTATTATTCCAAACTGGTACTGAAGATTCATGCACATCTTAGCGCGATGGGCTAGTAGACCCTTGGTCATGGTGTCTTAAGACATCAACCATACTCACCTTTCATAGCATGGTAGGTAGCTTAGCACTTTTGATGAAGCCCTCTAAGCGGAAAGAAGTCAGGATTGTCGAAATTTTTAGTAATATGGGACCCAAACAAAATAACATGAAAGGACTTTTGAGCATAAATGTAATATGAAATTGAATTAATTTAAAATTAAAATTGACAAAAAAGGTTCAAAACTGTAAGGAGAACACGATTGAACATTGAACTGAACTGAAATAGAACTTACAGGAACTTATAATTATGCCCTCATCTAAATATTTTTCCTCTTCTTGTTCCATTTTTCATATCTAGTGTTCTTTTCCTATTTTGAACTTTTTTTTTCTAATGAACGTGGTGGTTTTTTGTTTTGACTTCTGGGATTTGTACCATTACTGTGCAGGTAGCTCGCCCAATAAACCAAGTATTGTCATCCATGTTAGATCAAGATATTGGTCAAATGGAACGTGAAAATACAAGTTCAGATGTCCTCCAAAAAACTTACACTCTTGATGATTTTGAAGTTCGCCTTTTAGAACCAGAGAAATCTGGTGGGAATTGGGATACAAGAGCTACTATTCCAATGCAACCTTGTGAAAATGCGCTCACTGTGCGGATGGTAACCTTATTTGTAAGTTCGTATCTTATGATTTTCATGGATGTGGTGCTTAGGTTAAGGGACTCGAACTAATTAACTATGTGATGTAGATGCATGTGATTCCAATTAATTACTTTAAAGTCACATTCATGTAATCAAGCATTTTCTTCCCTGTCCCTCAGAATTCAGCAACAAAGGAAAATGAAGCTATTATGGCTATTGGAACAGCTTATGTACAAGGGGAAGACGTTGCTTCTCGAGGGCGCATTCTTCTATTATCTATTGGCAAGAATGGTGAAAACTCTCAAAATTTGGTACTTGTTAAGTCTAATTTACTTCAAATCATTGATTGTTAATTTTATATGCAAGATAAAGCCTTAACATCATTTCTATCAACTTCTGTTTCTCGTTGGAATTTTCAACAGAGCTTTTATCTTCATTTTTCTTCAGGTAACAGAAGTTTACTCAAAAGAGTTGAAGGGAGCTATCTCTGCTGTAGCATCTCTTCAAGGTCACTTGCTAATAGCATCTGGCCCCAAAATCACTTTGCACAAGTGGACTGGCTCTGAACTGACTGGTGTTGCTTTCTACGACACTCCTCTCTACGTTGTGAGCTTGAACATTGTATGTTAAGACTTGACAACGAAATCTGCTGCATTCCTTTCTGTTTGCAAACATTATTTTAGAGCACATAATGTTTTTGAATAATTTTCACTTCCTGTTATCAACTGACAATATGCATGTTTGTGACTGTTCCTTTCATGTTCTAATGCTACTGATCATTGTGTACAACACATTTACAATGAGCTGTTTTACCTTTCTTATCTTAATGAACAAAACGGCTACTTGAATAATCAACACACAATAAAAGGATACATGCTAGTCAGATGTTTGAAGTTAAATCTACTTATTAAATTTACCATTTCCCAGGTTTTGGCAACCAGGATTATTGGTTCGTTTATTCTTTCTTTAATTACGCATACCTTGCCTACTAAACGTCATATGCCTATTAGCTTGTCTTCATTGATGTAAGGGTATCTTGTCCAAGTATTTTTTTCCTCCATTTTTTGACATGCACTTTGGCGAAAGGACCTCCATCAATCTTCTATTTGAAAACAAACAGTAGTTCCCTTGAGTAAATATTTATCAAAAGAACATTCTAATAATTCATTAAAAATGTTTCAGGTTAAGAACTTTATCCTGTTGGGTGACATTCATAAGAGCATATACTTCCTCAACTGGAAAGAGCAAGGTGCTCAGCTGAGCCTTTTGGCAAAGGATTTTGGCTCTCTTGATTGTTATGCAACAGAATTTCTGATAGATGGAAGTACTCTGAGCCTTGTAGTTTCAGATGATCAAAAGAATATCCAGGTAATTCGCTGATTCTAATTCAAAACATGCAACATATGCATCTTAAGTGGATTTGAGGTAATTGTATTTTTCAAGTTTGCATCATTACTCATATTTGCTAAGGATTATAAACATATTACTCATTATTTATAATTCTTATGAAATCACACTAGAAGTACATATCATTGTCATTGCAATTGTTATTTGACTGTAAATTTCTATAGAAGTATTAAAGAGGCGGACTTAATATAGTTGTTTGATGTTAAGAATGGCATTCTTCACATCTATTGGCCTTTATGACCGCTTGAAAGTCAAACCAACCAACCAAATATAACAAAGACGACAAATGTAGGATGTGATATAGTGCAAATGTTATTTGAAACACATCGATCAAAAGTCAAAATCACTCAAATAGCATGCACTCACAAAACAAATTACACTAACACGTACGAGGCAACATAAACAACTATGATTGACAATCATATTATACAAAGTCTTTATGCAAAGAAAATAAAAAAATTGCATGTGCGAGGCGATGACACGAAATTGATTTGCATGAGCGATGAAGATTTTGTAAATAAAATATGAAATAATTATTAAAACTATAATATTAATTTATTATTATTAAATAAAATGTTAAAAAATAAAAAAAATAAAAAAATCCCTAAAATCTAATTTCTCCACCTACCTGCTCTCGTACAAGATCACACTGCTGTCTGTTACCTCGTACACATGCACACGACCTCAACTTGTCACCTCTCAAATCAAGCAGACCCCCTCAGCCCCATTACTCTCGTACTATCAACTCTTTCGGCCCATTCATTATGGCACACGAAGCACCCGCTCTCTCCTATCTCTTCTCTATTTCAAATGTAAAACCGCCTTCCTCTTCTCCTTTTCCACTTCCTCCTCTCACATGCAACCTGCACGACCTCACCTCCTTTCCTTTTCACCACCATCGAGCCTCAAGCTCTCGCTCCTAGTTGAGCCGCTAGTAGCTTATCCATCTGTCGGCAACCCAGATCCAATTGCCAACCGCAACCTTCTGAGCTCGCCAACCACTTGATCACCTCTCTCCACCTCTCCCTTCATCTTTCTTTCTTTCCCTCTTTGAAACTCTTTTTTTCGTTGTCTTCCCTTTTCTAACTCTTTCACTCTCAACCTTGGCACTCTGTCTTTTTCTCTCTTTTTGTCTTAATCTCTATCAATTTCTCACTCTACCTTTCCCTCTCTCTTTTTGCTCTAATATTTTCTCTCTTTAATAGAGAGAATTTCTCTCTTTTCACTATCTCTCTCTCCCCACTCTCTCTCTCTCTAAAAAGTGAGAAATACAAATAAAAAACAAAGAAAAGAGAAAAATAGAAAAGAAAAAAAAGACTATTAAAAGGAAAAAAAAGAGAAAGAGACGAAGAACAAAAAAAAAATTTGCGTTGCATTGCTGATCCATTGTTCTCATTGTTATTTCTTTTTGCATGTTAAGCTCTCAACAAGCAGAACTCTTTCCCCCTTTTCTTTGCGTGGTGAGAAACTCATAGGCAACATTCACAATGGAAGTGATCCTTGTGTACACTTTTGTTAGGTGGAAAATTTATGTACATGTACTTGTCTTTCTTGACACACCAAAGAAATATCATGAATTATAAATAGATACCGAAAACCCATACACATCTTCTTGGCATGGTCGGTAGAAGAGCCCGGCTATGGTGTCTTACGATATCAACCATGCATGTCTTTCTTGGCTGTGATGAGCAGGCCTAATACTTGTTGTAATAACACCTATATGGTGAAAATATCGGGAGGTTGTAATAATTTTCACTGAAAAAATAACTTAGAAAAGTACAAATTTAGCATGATTTATAGACGGAAAAAAGTAATAATTAAAATAAAAAATGATAAATATAAATTATTCCGAGTAGGTACATGAAGTCATGCCTTTTTTGGTGTGGTGGGGTGGAAGATCCTAGCCGCAATGTCTTACGATTTCAATTATACACTACTTTTTTGACATAGGGGGCAAGCTTAACACTCTCGATGATGCTCTCTATACAATGAAAATGTTAGGATGTTGTCAAAATTCACATTGACAAGGGACTCAAATTTAACAGCATTAAAGTACTTTTATGCAAAAATGAAATACTAAAAGAAAAGGCAATTAAAATTAATTTGATTAAAACTGCAAAAAAATGATAGCGAGGGAAATGAAGTAGGACTTACAGAGGAGTTGTAAGGAAATCAATAGCTGGCCAACGAATGCATACTAAACTTTGCTTCGGCTCCTATAATATTTGTGAATACTCAAGGTCCATAAGAATGTACTTGCATTGGACTTGGGATGAATATGAAAGAAAGAGCTCCCATTTTTATAACATTAAAAAATTATTTCTTGAAGGACCCATATAATTAAAATTTAATATATAAAGGCGAAAGAGAGGACAAGTAAAAAATGTGCTTATTTTTCAATTCGCCTTGTGCACAACTGGATTCGTAATATATTTGTTCAAGAGAACAAAAGGCGAAGGGCGATCTTTTAAAATTTCAAAATAAAATAATATGTACATTTTAATGATAATCCTCGCAATCAAATTCAAAACTCATGTGCAAGTGGACATAATATGAGCAATAATTCATTCAAAATGCAAAGTCACGTGCACGATCCAAGGACAACGCATTCATGTAAATAACTACTACATTTGATGCCTATACATGTGTCCACATGAATGGTTTTCAAAGAAAGTAACAATGGTTGTACGTCATGCTAACTATTAAAAAAGAGGGCTCGTACACATCCTATGAGGTAACAATACAACCCATTTATGAATACTTGAATAGTGCACACTATGAATGTATTTTATTTAAATGTGATAAGCAGTGTACTGTTGCATGGACGATTTGGGCAATTATTTTGAAAAAGTGCTCAGGATGAGTCAAATCACTGAAATAAATCTTGTCTGTGCATCCACTATATGGATGGTGTGTAGATGTACTGAAAACATGCAAATGCACTGTGCAAGCACACTAGTGAGTACCGTTGGCTATGTAAGCGCATTGTGTAAGCACACCAAAGATCATGCACGTATGCAAGTGCATCAAGATACATGCAAATGTGTTATGCAATGATATTAATAAGTATGCAAGCGCATTACATGAATGCACCATGAAACATGCAAATATACAATAAAAATGCTTAAAAAACATGTGCAATGCATCAAACGATTGAAATCAATTTTCTCGCATGTGCTCCAACAAACATATTAAATTTTTAAATACAAAGTCTAAGAATGTTACTCAGGGCAAAAAGCAAACCAAACTAAAATGCTTTTTTTTAATTAAAATCAATTTTCCCTGCATGTGTATCGACAAACATATCAAATGTTTAAATACAAAAGTCTGATAATACTATGCTTGTATAAAAAGTAAATTGAACTAAAATCTCATTTTAAATTAAAATCAATTTTTTTTGCATGTGCTCGAACAAATTTGTTAAATGCTCAAATATAAATACTGCATAGGTTTGTGAATACTGTTCAGGTTAAAAATAAATTAAATGAGAAGTTCTTTTAATTCAAATATACTTGTGTGCTCTAACATATGCATTAATTCATTATTTTGGGTGTCCAAGAGTATTGTGCATTGTTAAAAGCAAGTTGAACTAAAATTGTATTTACAAATTGAAATTAATTATTTGCGTGTGCCTTGACCAATACATTAAATTTCTAATTTTGTTGTCTAAGAATGCTACATGGGGTTAAAAGCTAGTTGAATCAGTTTCTTTTTTTTATTATTAGTTTTGAATTTTAAAATGAAAAGGTGGAATATGAAAAATAAAATAAAATATTGTCCTACAATAAGATGGGGGTATTTAAAGAACACAAATAAAAATACTTTTGAGAGTAAGATTCAAGATAGTAAAATTTTGATTGTGCATGAGGAAGCTAATGTTAAGTGAAAAAAGTAGCTTGTGATATTAAGAATGTTGCAAATTATATGTTTGGAGTATTAAAAGGGAAAGCTCATAATAGTAAAATAGTTGGTGGTTAAATCAAATTGTGCAAGAGATGATAAAAAATAAGAAGCTTTTGTTATAAAAGTTAGTTTGGGTGTAAAAATTTGAAAATTTGGGAAAAATATAAAGAGGGTCATAAGAAATCTAAGAAAGCAAAATGTGATGCAAATAATTTTGGTTTTAATGATTTATATGATAGATTAGATGCTAAGAAGGGCGAATGATATATATATATAAAGTTAGCCAAATAAAGAAATAGAAGTGATGAGGACATCGGAGATCAACGGCTACGAATTTTTTTGTTATTTATTTATATGTTTTTGTACTAGTTTATTTTATATTTAATCATCCATGCTAATACGTTTCACATCAAGAAGTAAGGATTTAGTTCAAGTGAAGTGTATTAAGGATGAAAATAAAAAAAAAATAATTTCATTAGAAGATGATATTTAACAAAGGTGGATGTGATATTTTGATAAGCTATTCAATGAGATTAAGATAATATGATTGACTTTAATGATATTAGAATCCTAAATGAAAATAGAGATTTGTTTTTATAACAAAGTTAGATATGCTTTAAAGAAAATGAAGTGTGGAAGAGCTATTTGACCTGATAATATCCAATAGAGATATAAAAATGCTTAGGAGATGTAGGAATTTCTTAACTTATGAAATTTTTTAATACTATTTTGATGACTAAAAAGATATCATATGAGTAGAGAAGTGTGTTAATTCCTATAATTAAGATTAAAGGTGATACCCAAGACTGTGCGAATTGGAGGAATTAAGTTAATTTGTCATACTTTAAAACTATGGGAGAAATTAATAGAGTATAGGTTACGACGTGATACTAATGTTTCTTAAAATAAATTTGGATTCATGTCAGGGAGGTCTATTATGGAAGTTATACATTTATTTAGAGGTTTGATGTAGAATTATAGAGAGGATAAGGAGAATCTACATATTATATTTTATTCATTTAGAGAAATTCTATAATAAAGTTTCAACCAAAGTGCTC